GAGTTGTTACACGACCTTTAAATAAAGTGTTAGAAAAGATAATATAATTAGTAAAGTATACACATCATCTACCTGTGTTGTTGCTTTAAAGTTACTGTATTAATATTAGGGGTGGAATTATTATCCGGGATCCGAAATCCGATCTGTTATCCGTTCGGAATCGCTCCGAAAATTAGGATATCTGGAGAGACCGGATCCGGATAAGGATAGTAAAATCTAGGATCGGTAAAAAGAGGATCCGGATCCGGATAACAAAATTTTAAGGTCTGGATATCCGGATCCAGATCCGGACGCATTAAATATATTAAAAACATATATATTATATATATATTAAAAATTGATTTTAGTTCTTTTTATAATAAATTATATTTATAATGAAAAAACACCATTTAAAATATTAACTAATAATTTTTAAAAATATATTTTTATTTATTAATTATTTTTAGTATTAATTTCGGATCCGGATATCCGCGGATATCCTGATTTTTTGGTGGATATCTAGAGCTCGGATATCCGGAGGTCACGAATCCTGATCCGGATAGTTTTTCCACGGATCCAGATATCTTGAAATTCTAGAATATCCGGAATCATCCCACCCCTAATTAATATGGTTACATGCAAAAGCTTTCACGGAAAAAATACCAAACTAAACATCTAACAAAAGAAAATACTAAAATAAATAATTAATGATACATAAAAAATTTGTTGAATGACTAATCATGCCGTGCCTAAGTTCTTAAAGGTTTGAATTTATGGCCACTTTTAATAATGATTATAATGACTTTCATCGTTTTTATAGATATGTATACACAACACATTTGTTTGAGATTAAACCAAAACCTTTTGTGTTTTGTTTTTTTGCTCTCTTTTAAGCTTTGAGGATCACTTTCCAAGTAGTTGTGTTTTTTNTNTTTNTCNTTGAAGTCATTTTCGAGTAGCTGTTGGAAGTAGTTTTCAACAAATACACTAATCACCAAATTAAGCAGACTAAAGAACAAAGAATGAATTAACTCAATAACTATACAAGATGAGTTAGTTAACAAACTTAATCCGGTCGGAATTCCCAAATTCTTTGTACGATTGAGTTTATTTATCGTTGGTTGCGTTAGAATTGACATGGCTCACTAGGGAGCGAACATAACTCATGTATGTCTGGTGAAAAAAATTGACATCTCAACCTTTTTTCGAATATAGCTTCCCTGGCGAAGTAACACGGTTAAAAAGAAACGAAGGGTTTTGTCTTCGAAAGGACTCTCCAACACTCAAGTTGGAAGATGTCAACGTGACTTCTTAACTTGAGGGGAGAAAAATGGAGGTTTATGTTTTTAGCTTGTCACCACGATATGTAGCAAAATGTGTTATTTTGGGAGGGCAAAGGAGAGAAGATTGGTTCTCGGAGTGGGACTGGAACTAAAGGAGGAGAAAGTATCAATTGAATGGTCAAAAGATCGTATTCCTCCACCCACCGGATATCATTGTAAGTGTGCGAGTGGTCGTCTCCGGATGAATGGGTCTGTCGATTCATTTCGTCCGGATGAATTGTCATCCTTTGCTCTAAATTGGTAAGAAGTGGAGAATTCATAGGAGTGTTACCTGTCCCCACGCTTCCAAGACTGAATTCGAAGAAACACACACATAATCAACCCACGGTTGGCGTGAATTCACATAAACAGAAACATATTCAGTACTTGTGCTAATGAAGCATTTCAGTCTTTGCTTCACAACTAGTTTTTCAATGCCTTCTAATGAAATACTGCTTTGGCTACAGAGAATATCATCGTCCTACCGGTCTGCAATCCCAGTTTAAACCATCAAAACTCCAGCAGGCAACACCGAGATATAAGCTCTTATATATACAGTCATTTAACCGTTACTCTTGTGATTCAGTTAGACGTTTTTTCAAGAATCAGCTGTCATTTTAGGTGATTCAC